CCCCAAAACCCCAAAACCCCAAAACCCCAAAACCCCTTAGATTTCACAGAAATTGAATTGGATACAGTAAATTATACCTCAAGCAGACTTAATCTTTGAGAACATTAAATCTTGGAAACTGAAAACTATTCCAGTTGAAAGTTCAGATTTGGCAGCTAAGAGAGAAAGTATTCGTCAGAGCACTGCATTGAAATTGATGATTGATTAATCAGGGAATAACACTATTTTTGGATGTTTCTCTAAGCTTTATTTGAAAATTATTTGAGATTTTAAATTGAGTACTTCTGTAAGGAGCTGTATTTAATATTTTTGATACTTATTGCTCTGTAAGTTATTGACTGTGGGTTTTTCTTCAGTCTAATTGGCCTTATAGCCTGATTGACTTTCTTAGACTTTTTGATGTAGTTAAGATGCTTTAGAATAAACATGCCTTTGTGATTAGGTTCATAGCCCCCTGTTTCTCATGATTTGTGATGGTTGGATGGGGACGGAAGGATTATAGGTGATGGATCCTAGGAGATCAAGAAGTTCTCTTACAAATCTTAGAAAGTTCTGTATCTTTTTTCTTACTACAGGGGTTTTCTTAATGATTTTAAGGTCTTTGTTGAGCTCATTTATCTCCAAATTAGAGTTGGAAACATTCATTGATCTGCTCAAAAAGGTTTTACAAGGCTCTTGTAAATTATTAGCTATTGATAGGTGACAAGGCATACCTCTTGATATAGTTGAACTGACGTTTACGATTCTCTTCTTAGGTATCTCTCCTAATCCTTTGGTTTAGCAAAATAAGGTACCTTTTATTCTACTTGCTTTTCTTCTGATAATTTCAAGGAAGGAGGGGTCATTGAGGGAGGGTAAATTATCTTTCGGAATAATTGTCTCAATACTTCTCATAGTATTTCAGGAAGCCCTCTTACTTAAAATTCTATGTAAATTCCTAGTATTATTCCTCTTGCTCTTCAACCTAATCGATTTTCTGGCTGGCATTTTATTTTGAAGTTGGTTTGAAAGTTTTCAAATTGAATAAAAAGTTTGAATCTGATTGTTTCTTCCTTTTTCTGTTCCTTTTTTGGTTATTTTTGAGAGTTATTTTCATCATTTTCTACTTATAATTCAGGTTAAACAATCCATCCTCCTTTTTTAAATAAGTTTCTTGCCAAAAGTGGCCTCTAGAATATTCAAATTTTCATTAAAATATAGTAACTCTGTTTAGTATTGTTGCTTATATAATTAAGCTAATTATGTAGTTCAGAATATACTAGTTAGCATATTACCAGCATTTTTAAGAGAAAAAATTGTCTCTGTGTGCATTTTTAAACTTTTTGATGCTAGTAGGGGTTGTTTTAAAGCCACCTTACATGTTACCTTTAATAAATTTACAATATAATTGACCAAATCTGGGGTTTTGGGGTTTTGGGGTTTTGGGGTTTTGGGG